GGTTGTGTCCCGCCGAAGCGGGAGATACACGGTCCCGGCGAACCCAGCACGGGACCAATCAGAGACGGGTCACCCCATCGGAAGCAACCGCCGGTCCGCAGAGCTCGACGAAACTAGGACGACGGCGCCTCCCGCCCGACAACATGGACACGTTGCAGGCTTCGCACGCGACGTCGTCGTCGTTCCGCCTCGCTCCGCAGTCGACGGCAGTCGCCTCGACGAGAGGCAACACCGCAGTCCGGGACGATCTACTTGAATGCAGTTCCGCGACGATCCACTTCTCCGCGACCATCTGATGGAATTCACCGCGACGACACACTCTTCCGTCAATCCCCTACGGTCCTCTTCCGTCAGGTCCCCTTCCTTCCGTCTAGGCCGGGGCAGGTCCTCTTCCGTCCACTGACAGGCTTCTCCTCGGGGATCCGTCCAACGCGTTCCTCCGCCGGACCCTAACCTACGACGCGGCTGGCCAGAGAGAAAATCCTTCGGCAGCCTCCTGGGAGGCACCATTCTAGAGGCTGGTCACCCCATCGGAAGCAACCGCCGGCCCGCAGAGCTCCACCGTATTCCGACGACGGCACCTCCCGCCCGACAACATGGACACGTTGCAGGCTTCGCACGCGACGTCGTCGTCGTTCCGGTCCGCTCCGCAGTCGACGGCAGTCGCCTCGACGAGAGGCAACATCGTGGTCCCGCCGAAGCGGGAGATACACGGTCCCGGCGAACCCAGCACGGGACTAATCAGAGACGGGTCACCCCATCGGAAGCAACCGCCGAAGCGGGAGATACACGGTCCCGGCGAACCCAGCACGGGACGATATAAATACGATCATCCCGGCTATCAGAGCACGGGACAATCACACATGCCCCTTCCGAAGCGACCGCATCGCTCACCGAATTCCGACGCGAATAAAACCTGCCCCGTTCCAGGCTTCGCTCGCGACGTCGTTACGGTTCGCTCAGCAGTCGACCTCCTCGGAGGCGGTCCCGGCCGACAAAGCACGGCACGGGACTACTCGGGCCCCTGCCCGAGGGGGGTGACGTAGGCAGATCCGCAGAGCTCGCCGAATCCAGACGTCACCTCGCAACCTGGGCACGTTGAGAGGTTTCGCACGCGATCCGGTTCGTTCATTGGAAACCAGTCCACCACATCAGGAGACTCAGATCCAACCCACTCGAGTGGTGTTTCGATCATGACTCTCAGACCTGATACCTCAGACAGGTCCTCCCCATATAGGGTATCGACCTGTCCAGATATCTTGGAAACGATTTCGATCTGCGGTCCTCCGCGGCACCGGGCGTCCGGGGGAGGAGGGGAGGGGAGAGAATCCTGCCCCACTTCTTTACCTCGAAATCGTGGGAACACCGGAATCCGAGTACGGAAAACGTCGCGCCCCGAAGGGCTCCGGGCGACGACAGCACCACCGCCCGACCTCGGCGGCGGGGTGTCGTGACCGCGATTCCGCCGGGGCACCACTCTTCCGGTTCCTTCGCAGGTACGGAGAGAGCTGTGCGTCGTCGGAACGAAGAGACCGCGAACCCGCCGCCTGGACCGGACCGGCGAGTGGTCGTGACCCCGGCTCCGCCGGAGCACCACCTCTCCCGTTACGACGCAACACCACTCTCGAGAGGCACGGAGAGAGTGGTGCGTCGTCGGAACGAAGAGACCGCGAACCCGCCGCCAGGACCGGACCGGCGAGTGGTCGTGACCCCGGCTCCGCCGGAGCACCACCTCCCCCGTTACGACGCAACACCACTCTCCAGAGGCACGGAGAGAGTGGTGCGTCGTCGGAACGAAGAGACCGCGAACCCGCCGCCTGGACCGGACCGGCGAGTGGTCGTGACCCCGGCTCCGCCGGAGCACCACCTCTCCCGTTACGACGCAACACCACTCTCCAGAGGCACGGAGAGAGTGGTGCGTCGTCGGAACGAAGAGACCGCGAACCCGCCGCCTGGACCGGACCGGCGAGTGGTCGTGACCCCGGCTCCGCCGGAGCACCACCTCTCCCGTTACGACGCAACACCACTCTCCAGAGGCACGGAGAGAGTGGTGCGTCGTCGGAACGAAGAGACCGCGAACCCGCCGCCTGGACCGGACCGGCGAGTGGTCGTGACTCCGACTCCGCCGGAGCACGACGCGTTCCGTTTCGCTCCGAGGCACCGGCCCGAGAGGTGCCCCGGCGGAACGCAGGGACCGCGAGCACGCCGCCGGGTCCCGGGAGGGCCACCTCGCGTTATACCAAAACGCGAGAAGGAAGCTCGAGAGCGCTCATCCGAGGACCGTCGACATCATTCGTGCACTCGCACCCCGCCCCGAGAGCGAGAGGAGAGCTCCTGTCGAACCTCGGAAGTGCAGCTCGATCGAGCACACACCTCCCCCTATATAGGGCAACTGGCGTGCCAGCTATCTTGGAAACGTTCTTCGTCTCCGGTGCGCTGCGGCATGATGCTTGCCGACGGGGAGGGGAGGGGACAGAATCTCGTGCAGTTTCTTAGGCAA